TGTGGTGAAAATTTGGTTACATCTGATTATTACTCAGTTTATTTTGGGTTTACTGCATATATTTATTTCCTAGGCAATGGAGAGCTTGCATTCCCATTCTTTTTGGGTGCCTTGATGGTAGGCAAAAACAATACTTTGGTATCAGGTTTGAAGTTAATGGTCTTGCTTGTTTTCTAGTAAATGCATCAAAGGGGTCTGGATAAGGAAGAGCTTTAATCCTTATGTCTTCATAGGCTCCTTCCAGTGACAGATGAGATAGTTGTCATTGGTTTTATAGCTGTTGTCTGTCATGAGGTGATGCGCTTGCATCATGCTATTGCTCAGCAGTCCTGCAAATCTTTACTATATTTTCCACTGGCTGTAATGTTGTAGAGAAATCTGGCAAGCTTGGAGCGGTATTGCAGACCTTATGCTATTTCACTTCACATATATTCCCTTCCCTAATTGGTAGTATAAAACATCAACAGATCTCTGGAATTGTATTTATTTATCCATAAACTGGCTAGGAGTTAGATGTTTCTGTTTCTGTAGCTGCATTTTGGGGGACTTGGGTTATTCTTTGAAAGGCCTGTTTTTCTCTTCTTGCGAAATGTTAAAAGCTATGTGAAAATAATGACGTCTTTAAAGGTCTCTCCATACCCCTCTACTTCATAAAATCTAAAGTGTTTATTAAATGACTTAAGTACTGGCAATAACTCCCAGCGACAAGAACAGCAAAACACTAACGAAAGAAAGCACAAAGCTTTGTCCATAAAGCAGTTTCCAGTCCTCCAGCTTGGCAGGAGGAATCTATAAAAATCTGAGGGGAAAGAATAGCGCACAGGGAGGGAGGCCTGCTGGGAACAAAATTCCTTCCTGATCTTTAAATATGGGTGAAAACTGCCCAAGTATGAATGTGTTAACAGTTGTTTTGATGACCAGTGCAGCTTGACATCACTTCCTGTAAAGTTGTTATAAATGCTCATGCTTTTGAGAAGGAAATTGGCAGCAGATCCGTATGTGTAACCAAATTGCAGAATGTTCACATCTTTTTCTGTTTGTTGCTCAGTTCAAGTGTTTCTAATTAGCTTTAGCCTGTCTCCTAACTCTGGCAAGAGACTAGCTGCATCGCTGCTGTGACAGGAGCAGAGCTACAGATGTTTAAATGAGATATAAACTGTTGTGCATCTGGCCAATCATCTTCATTTAGAGCTGGAAGTCATGTTACCAGCACAGCCGATCTGTAATGTGTTTCTGGATCTCTTTTAGGATTTTGAATACAACCCTGTTTGAAAGCTGGGAGTTGATTGGTCCTTATCCTTCATGGTGGCTATTCAATGGGCTTTTGATAACCTTGCAGATCTTGCATATCATCTGGTCTTATCTCATCATTCGCACTGCCTACAAGGCCCTCGTGCGGGGAAAGGTAAGATTGCTGGTGGCTGTTTTGGGTCCTCTTTCCTACAAGTCCTATTAAGTCATGAGAAAGTGGGCCCTTCAGCGAGGGATGGTACTAGTTATCGAGGGACTTGCATCGGGAGTGCTTTGTAGAATGGTAGGTTTGTTGTGTTGTTTTTTTTTTTTTTCCCTTGGTTGCTCTGCAGCCTTGAGTTGCCAGGTATGTACAAGGGCAGGGATGCTTTCCTCTCTGTTCTGGTTGTGCAGGGAAATAACACCATTTTCCCAGTACATTCAGATGTTGTAATAACAGTGATGATGACAGACTTGTTAGATACTTTGGAGTTTAAGGTGGTAGTAGGCTCCATTTTGAACAATCTCATACAATGTTTTCCAACTTCAGATGGTTCTTGGCATGTGATGAGCGTTATGCATCTTGTTAGCACTAACACAGGCTTCTGGCTGCCAGTGCAGGTCAGGCATCGAGCTGCAGCATGCAGAGGAGAAAGGGTTATCAGAAATGCAGTGGAGTTTGCTGGTTGTCACTGGGCTAATGGGGTGCAGTCTAGCTTCAGTCCTGAGTATTCTAATTTTAATTTGTTTTGGGAGTCTTAGGGAGAGGGAGGGTGAAACTACAGCAGCTGGTTAGCAATGGATACTGCCCTAAGAGTAAACAATGATGACTTTTGGCTGCAACCTCAGTTGCCAAGCAAAAAGGTATAGTTCAACTGAAGCAGTTTGAGACAGGGCAAGCTAGTCTAGGAACTAATTTGACACCCAGCCTACCCATCAAGAGAAGCCACTTCCTTTGCAGCTACCAGAGAGCAACAGCCGATTTCATAGCACAAATGCTTTTTTAAAATCAGATATTTGGTATCCTGATCTGAATTTCTCATGGCTCTACTTTATTTTGTGTTTGACTTCTTAGCTGCCCCTACATGTGGAATGTAACCTTGAAAAATATTTATATCATAGTTGTCTGTGGCAGTGATTGTCAGGGGAAAGCATGTTTCAGAGTATGCACGTGATCTTTTCATCTGTTCCCCACAGCTGCTACTATGTCTTATTTTCTGTCGGTGCAGCTGTTTCTGAATCCTGACGTCTACATCTTTTGCCTTTCCTTCATTCTCTCCTGTCCAGGTGACCTAGCCAGAGAAAGGACTCTAAGCTCTGTCTTCTTCATTCTTTTCTCCTTTTCTCTGTGCCAGATTGGAGCTGGACAGTTTCATCTTTTGCCTGTAAGTGTGGTCTGTGCTTCTGTTTATTCACTGAAACACATCTGTGTCTGTTTCAAGGCTAAGACAAAAGCAAAGCTATGGTCTTGGGGCTTTCGATGGCTGGTGCTTTCTTGTAAAATGTTTCTCTCCCTGGTTGTTAGTGCTGGTTCTGACAGTATGCTAAAATGCAGGTTTTTCCAAAGGTCAAAGCAGTGTCCTGGGGTTTGTTCTTATCTGCTGTCAGCTGGCTGCATGACCTTCACCTTTGTGCTTTTATACGCCCACAGAGACTCTGATATCTGTCTTTAGTGCTCATTAACACTGTGCTGAGTGGAAGAGGACAGGAGAAATGCAGTGCTTTTTGTGAGGAGGAGTAGAACAGTCAGTTGTCCCCCAAATAATGGGAAAAATTTCAAGGGATTTCTGCTTCCTTCCAGTGACCCTTTGAACTTCCAACATAGCAGGAGAGTGGGGAAAGATATCAAAAGTTCTGGCAACAGATAGAAGCCAGTACATCCAACAGGCCTGACAAAACCAATCCTGGAGATCATTAACTTTACCTGGCTTTCTGCCAGATCTTCTCTCGAGTTCAAAAACTTCCTGCCTGGTGCGTTCAAAAGCCTTAACCCTGACTCAAAGCAAGCAGAGGAGAATGAAATGCTGAAGTCCTTGGAAAGGTGCTAGCCACAAAGCGCTTGCACGTGAAGTAAATGAGGGCTGTTGGTTGCAGAGGCAGAAGCGTGGAGCGCCTGCCTTGGGGTATGCAAAGCACGGGCTGTTCACGCAGTCACTGCTCGGCACTGTTGAGTTTATGGCTCTGGCACCCCGCCACCAACCAAGGTGCTTGTTGGCAGTTAGGGCCGGGCCTGTGATCTCATCCCTTCACCTTCTGGTGGGGTTGGCTCTGCGGTGCTGGTACAGGGCCCTCCCGCGGCACTCCGAGCAGCAAAGCGTGCCTGGGTCTGCGTCGAAAGGCTCAAAATCCCACATACAAACCAAATTCAGATGGATTTGCAGTCAGTCTTTCGACTAAAGGCATAACTCTGTAAAGCAGATCTACATCTTCGGGCTGAGATGCTCCTGCTGTTCCTGAGTGGGCATTTGCTGGGTTCGATAGTTGTCTTTGTTCTACAGCCCACTGTCCAAACGGGCTTTTGCTCGTAAATGAGTTCTCAATGTATGAACTACAAGCTGTGGAAATGGGAGGGACTTTCTGCAAACAGTAATGTGATAAATATAGCTGGTTAATTTTTAAAATATCAAAGCTGCTCCCTGTAGGACTAAATGTTCTCTCTAAAACTGAGATATGCATGGGTTTTGGTCATCATACCCACTGATGATTATGGTATGAGAAGTTTTTTGATTCAAAACAAATGTGTTGTTTAGAAAAGTGGCCTTTCCAAAGCCAATCTAGAATGCAATTCTTGGAAGACAAGAACAACCAAAGATCTACAGTGTCCTCTGATCTGGTGAGAGCAGGGGAAAAAAAAAAAGTGTAGTGCTTTCACAGGTGTACAGAATATTTGGAAAATGGAACTCGTATTTCCAAACTGTCATTTTCAATGTCTGTGTGTTGCATTCTGTATGTGATGACAGGTTTCTCCTTGTGAGTTTGAAGTAATTCAGGATCAAATGTAGAAGGTAAATGTAACTGACTGAAGCTGGTAAATCACATGGACACAACCTTCTAACTACCATTCTCTGTGAATTTTTTTAACTTCCTTTCTCCCCTTTCCACTACCAAATTTCATTTGAAATGTTTAGGTATCAAAAGATGACCGCAGTGATGTAGAGAGCAGCTCTGAAGAGGAGGATGTGACTTCCAACAACACAAAAGGAGTTTTCAGCACTTCGAGTAACGGCTCCAACCGCATCAATGGCCACGTGGCTAGTGGCCAGTGGACAGAAGAGGAGTAAGGCTGTGGGTTGGCCTTGAGCAAACACGAACTTATCTTTAAATATCTAGATGTGTTGAGCTCCACATTCCCAAGTGATCTTTAATCAAGATACCCCTTCCCCAGAAACCTCCAGCAAATCTGAAATGGGCACAATCCAGACCAGTCAGAGGCTTTGCACAACAGAAGGGATAAAGCCAATGACTAGGGCAAAAACAAAGCTGCAGATTTCACTTTAAGCCATTTTGTACGTAAATCTTAGTCCCATCGACATTTGCAGAGGTGTCTTTGTGAGAAACTGTTTTTTACTCAGATCAACTCAAGGCGGAACAAGTTTGGACTAGGCTGGCTGCTGACCACAGGAGGGTTATGGTGCCATTTCAGTGACGGTTCGCTCCAGTGCAGGTTCAGCATATCTCCTTGATGCACTCCAGAAGCCACATAAGAGCATGGAGAATGCAGGGTCGCGTGGTTCCACATCCAAGCTACCCTGGCTGTAGCAGAGACTCTTTTTCTCAGTCCTGCTGTGAGCACTCTGGGCTACAGCCAAGCTTTGAATTGGACCGTGCTACAACAGAAACATTGCTAACTGGCCATCGGGGTGCTATATGCTAAGGAGGGTATAGCTTCTATTTCTGCTGTCACGAGGGACCAGGCCAGCGTTTGCTGCCTACTTTGGTGCTGCAAACCCCTCTGAAGTCTTGACTACAGCCTTCTGAAATGGGGGAGGGGGGTTGTTTATTGCCCCTGAGACAACTATCACAATACATACCTTTTAAAATTTCTTCTGTTGCAAGCTGTGGTTTTGAAGACTTTTCTAGACCTACTGGATACAGTTGGCTAAGCTAGGACTTGAGGGTGGACCAGTACTGGTGGGCTGTGTTTTACTTTCCACAAAATAAGATGTTTTGGTCCTGCTTGTCTGTACTCCAAGACAAAGTGAATGTTGCTGCTCTGATTTTGCAACTCTGTGGAGGAATCATGGGGCTGGAAAGGCAGCCACACCATAGGCTTCGCTTTTTATTTTTTTTTTTTTTTTTTTTTTTTACTCAATGGTACTTGGGGGCAATGGAAGACCTGTGTGTCAATCATGAGCAGAATTTTGGAAATTTCTTGAGTTGTTACCATTTTATACCATTGTTTACTCTTATCTCTGATTAAAAGATGCTTCAGAAACTTGGTTGATATGTTTTATCTTGAGAAAATAAAACCATGCCCCTTTTCTGTGATTCGGAGCAGCTGGACTGCTGGCAAATGCCTCTGGGCAGCACCGTTCTGAGGTGAACAGGGATGGTTTGGGGCAGACACCACGCAGCACCACGCCTGGGGGTCTTCACAGGGCTTTTATTGTGGGGGGCCGGCCGTGG